TACAAACCTTAATCTTCTTAAAATCCCCAATTTTTAATATAAGTATGTGCCAAACCCATGATCTATTCATGATAGCTCTACGATATTCACAATTTTGCTCATATTTTTAAACTCGCGATATTTGATATTGCTTGAACAATCACGAATATTCACAATTGAAAAAACCTCTCATCATAGAAAGATTAAAATAATTAAAGTTGCGAACGACAGCAGGAGGCTGGCTGGCCACTGTGTGTTGACACTCACTATTCTCAAATTTAAGTCGAGGGTCTTTTATTGCCTTTTGATGAATGATTTTCTCAATTAAATATTTTTAAATTGTCAACGGTTTAAGCTAAAGGTTTATTGGATTATGCACCAACATTTTTCAACCCAATTAAACCGTGGAATTATAGATTCAACCACTCAAATTAATCATCTTTCAGGCCATTATATACCCCCAAATTAGTCCACGCTCTATAGCAACCATGAGAAAAATAATTTATTATTCGATCTTAATTAAATATCTAAATATTGGACCGATTTAGAAATGACGTAACATAAATTATTATTTTAAATCTTGATCGTGAAATTTTATATTATTATTTTCTCCTAAACTGCTCAGAGAACGTCAATACCATGTAGACGAGGTATTTTTCAATTGGGTAAATGTCAAAACTTGTCAAGATTGAAGATAATCATAGGTAAAGAATTGCTGATGAACAGAAACTTTCGTGACGAAGTCAAAAAACAAGCTGAGGAAGCAATTTGTTTAGTCAGAACACGTCCTGTTCTTCTTCAGCTTAGCCTAAGCATCCGTGACAAAAAAAAAAAAAAAAAAAATCTTATGATGCATTTAGTGTCCATACCTTAGAAATTAGGCTACACGTGTCAAGCTTAAATTCGTGTGTGAATGTCCAAGCTCCAACCATTTCCTTCTAGTAGATTTTTGGTTTGACATTGACGACTTTGTTAGTTTTCATAATCTTTGATGACGACCTCAATCGAATTAAATAAAAAAATTTAATTGGGCTTACCCCATTGAGACGTCGCCTAAAGTTTGGTTGACCTCTGACCTTAAAAAAAAAAATAAAAAAATGTACGAACACAAACTAAATTTAGTATTATTTTAGTCAGTTTCTCTCAGAACCACATTACTGCCAGTTGTTCCTATAATTGGGCTCACGCTGAAACCCAATAGAAGGCAGTACTTAAAAGCCAACAGTAGCAAATATGATTAAACCCTTTGTACAGAGGACCCACCTCAATAAAAATGAAAA